AGACGAGGGTTGGGAGAAGGGGTGCCAGAGGCAGGTGCCCAGTGGGAGACCTTACCTGGGCAGCTCCCAGCCTGCAGTTTCCTTAATCAGGGTCCCTGCCTTCCACACCCCAGTACTGCTCACTGCAGCTACAGGGGCCATGGCTACTACTACACTGTGAGCCTGGGGGATGACAGGAGGGGGGTCTGGGGGTGGGAGCAGTGTGAGCAGCCTCTGTCCCCTTCCTGGAGCTCTCAGCATGCAGAGAAGCCCATGGCCCTGCAGCAGCTGTCTTTGCTGAATGCCAAGCGGGGTGAGACAGGCAAGGAGCCAGCTGAGGCTCTTGCGGGCTGGATCTGGTGACTATGTGAGCAAACTCCAGCATGCAGATCCTATTTGCCCAGCCCTGTGCTAATACATCACTCTTTCAGCTTGACTGTGAACCATTGATAGCCATTCTCTTGGTACATTTTCCAACCTGCTGTGCACCCACTTTAGGATAGGTTCACCTTACTTTGTATTTCAGAAATGTGCATCTTTCTGTCTGAATCGATTTGTTCAAGAACTCCTAAACGGTAAAAGCTAGGATCAACAAATTTGTTATGTAGCTTGCTCTTATAACATAAAGCAAGGTCAGGGTTTGGTTGTGACAGGACAATGGGATGTGCCTGGAATTTGATTTTTTTTCTCATGTAATATAACAGTGGTTCTGTGGGCACCACTGAGAAGATCAAACGAGGGTGAATTGCTTAGAATCAGAGCTACTTACAGCCCAAGGCTAGGAGTCCTCCTCTATAGGACACCAAGCCAGTCACAAAGAACACTTCAGCTGCCACTCTGGCAGCAAGAAGTCACACAAGCAATCCCCTTAGGCCCCACAGCTTTACCTGTGACGCAACCATCATCACACCTTACACAGATAAAAGCTTATGAAAACACACAATAGTGGGTGCAATAATGATCTGCATGTTCATACTAAAAATCCAGTATCCTATCTCATAAAATGGAAAGGAAGGTATCTGGCAGGAGGAACAGTTATACTGCAAAATGACCACAGAGGAACAGCAAGGGACCAGAGATGAAGGGGGAAGCGGGAGGGAAGAGAACCCATGGGTTAGGCTTTTTGGCCACCTCAGGCTCCCGCTGTCCAACACCATCTTGCTGCGACAGACGGCTTCCCTGCACCTGCTGAGCACAGAGAGCCAGGGTCCATTCATAGGGGTGCGGGAGAGACTTCGTGAGCTGCACTTTCAGGGGTGAAGAGTCACATGTGGCTCATGAGATGCAGGTTGTCCACCCTGACCTACTAGTTCAAAGGTCCCTATAGGAGGCTATAGAGGAATGTCCATGGGTGCAGCAATGCCTGAGCCAGTCCCCACAGGGAGCAGAGAGACTCTGCTGCACTCCCAGCTCTACTCTGCCCCTGTCCCAGCCAAGGCTCCAGTTCCTGGTCCCCAACTCAGATAGCCTCAGGCACCAGCCACACAAAGTAACTCCTGACCTGATGCCCTGCCAGACCTGATTCTGGCCAGCCTTAAATGAGATTCAGTGTCCACTCAGTGTGGACTATTTTGAAATAGCAAAATGCTATTTCGAAATGCATTTTGTGTTTAGACGCATTATTTTGAAATAATGCTGTAGTGTAGACATACCCTGACTGAATTGACTTCGTTATCACTGGCCTTTCTCTTGATTGGTACCCCTTTCTTTTCATGTGTCTGTTTATTTATACCTGCCTCTGGAATTTCCACTACATGCATCTGATGAAGTGAGTCTTTGCCCACGAAAGCTTATGCTTCAATAAATCTATTAGTCTATTAGGTGCCAGAGGACTTCTTGTTGTTTAGGGTACTCATGAATTTGGTAGAGCACAGCACATACTTTCCAGGGCCAGAGACATAGGTAGCACCTGTCACTGAACCAAAAAGCCATGGCTTTGGCTGAGAATCTCATCATGACCACTGAGGCATCAGGAATGAAAACTGTTGCTAGGGTCTTTTTCTTTAAATATAGAACCAAAGTCAGAGTTAGCTCAATCTCTACCCTTCATGAAACAAGTAGTTGGTAGGGAGATAAGGAGGTCTCAAAATCTTTTTTATTAAATAGCTGTGATGAATGGGAGGAGAACCGCCTATAAAGGATTAAACTCAGAGAATCATAGAACCTGTGACATTGGGGAGTTTTAAAAACAGAAGCCTCTAGAGGCAGGGTATTTTTAAGGTATCTTACGGGCCAGCACCTTCTGCACTTGAAGTGCCAGAGTGGGCAACAGACTTGACAATGGCTTTCATTTTTTTGTCTTTCTGAGAACTCCTTAGGCTACAATTTCCTGGATTCTATAGAACCTAAGATGCTTGCCCTTGTCTGGCCTCTCCCATTAATCTCTGATTACTACCGCTAAGGATGAGGGTAGGGGAACTGTGGCTTTAGGGGAGTATTCTGAGGAGAATAATTTGCTCAGGTACCCTGTTACACCAGCAGAGAGGCACTACAGCTGAAGGTCTGGAACACATGGTTTAAAAAACCCTTACTGTTCCCCCCAATTTTGAACAAAAAGTCCCCCCTCAGGTAGATATGAAGACATGAGCTGTAAAATCTGCCAGCCACGTGATGACAAAGAGACAGAGAAAGTAGGAGCTGAGTGGGCATGGCCAGACCATGCAGCTCCTTAGTGACTTGCAGAGAAAGAGCAGCGGAGACATCAAGAATGGTGGGAGATGCTGGGATGCAGAAACAGCAACATGGGTAAACAGGTGATTTAAAATACAGTTTCTTACTACAGATTTTAATCAATTTCCTGTGGCTTCAGCATCTGGAGATCAACATGTGGAATCCTTCTTATATATTAAAGAGGTCAAAAAACAAGGTGTCTTCAAAGATCTCAATTTTAACTCATACATACATGTTCCTTTGATGTAATATAAACAGACCACATAGACAAAAATGATTTTAAATGTCAGTTAATATTTATTAGATATACAAATCTGAAACCATTCTTACAATTACAGGGAAAAAACTTCATTTGGCGACACATAATTTTATCAAAAAGTTATATAGCTTATTTAAAAATAACATTATTTTCTGAAAAATTATAGCGAAATATCATTCGTAGGCACAATTATCAGGCATAAATGATATAATCAGATCTCCCCACAGTACTAAACAAGACAAACACAATCATTCTGTACCAATAGTGAAGTGTCAACCCAATACAGGAACCAAATTCACTAGGACAATGGAACATGAGCTCCCAATATGATGCAGTAACTAAGTGGGTTAAGATATACCCTTGATGTATAAAGAGGGAAATACTGAATATGAAAAGGAGATGGCTTCTTCAGGACAGTGGTTGGAAACTGTGCAGTTGTGGTGTCCACACTTTCAAAATGATGATAAATTTGGGAGAGCTGAGAAAAGAGCTGCAAGAATGAGCTGAGATTTAGAAAACCTGCTTTATAGAAAGGGATAAAGAAGCTCAAACTATTCAGTTTATTAAAGGAAAGGCTGAGAGGTGACGATCACAGTCTATGAGTACCTACAAAGGAACAAGATTTCTGGTATCAGAGATGTTTAAAGTCTGAAAAAAAGGAAGAATGAGATCCAAAGACTGAGATCTGAAGCTGGATAAATATAGACTGGAAATAATCCTACTTACCTAGGTGTTTATATGTCTTTCTTTGACAGTGTCTGAGCACCTCAGACTCATTAATGAAAAAAAACTTAAAAAACTACCACGGTCCAGTAGCACCGTAGAGACTAACAAAATATATAAACAATGAGCTTTCGTGGGCACAACCCACTTCTTCAGATGACAAATAAGGAACAAGGAACATGGAGTTTTCTGCTTTATATTTAAAATTCTGGGCCGCTTTACTCCATATTTGTCATCTGAAGAAGTGGGTTGTGCCCACGAAAGCTCATTGTTTATATATTTTGTTAGTCTCTACGGTGCTACTGGACCGTGGTAGTTTTTTAAGTTTTTTTAGTTGCAGACTAACACATCTAATCCTCTGCAACTCATTAATGCAGTTAATCTTCATAAGCCACTGCCCTCTTAGGAGGGTGTTATCCTTTTTCACAGATGGGGAACTGAGGCACAGCACAGAGAATAAGGACTGATTTACATAGGAAATTTACACTTGATTGTAGTCTCAGATGGGTAGACCTGTTAGTAGTCTGTAACTATAAAAGCAACAAGTACTCCTGTGGCACCTAGAGACTAACGAATATATATACTATTGTGAGCTTTTGAGGGTAAAACCCACTTCATCAGATGAGCTCATCTGATAAAACTAATGTTACCCACACAAATTCATGATACTACATATTTTTGTTAGTCTCTAAGGGAGCGTCTACAAAATAAGCTATGCAAATTGCATAGCTTATTTTGAGTTAATTTCGAAATAGCTTATTTTGCAATTAAATTTCAAAATAAGCCACTATTTCAAAACATCCCTTAATCCCCACAGAACAAGGTTTACATGCTCATTGGAATAGCAAGCCTGTTATATTTCAAAATAACAGACTTGTTTCCAAGACGTGGAATAGCTATTTCGGAAGTATCGCCGAAATAGCGCTGCAGTACAGATGTACCTCAAGGTGCCACAGGACTACTAGTTATTTTCTTGCTTATCATGAGGAGTTTAAACAAGTTTAGCTAATATTATGGCCGAGGCTATGCAGACGGTTAGACTAGATTATCACAGTGGTTCATACTGGCTTTACAATCTATTAAAAAAGTAGTTGACTGAGTCTGATTCTACCTTAATCAGGGGAGGGATAGCTCAGTGGTTTGAGCATTGGCCTGCTAAACCCAGGTTGTGAGTTCAATCCTCAAAGGGGCCATTTAGGGATCTGGGGCAAGTCTATTGAGGACAGTACTTGGCCCTGCTGTGAGGGCAGGGGACTAGACTTGATGACCTCTCAAGGTCCCTTCCAGTTCTATAAGAGAGGTATATCACCATACATTTTACTTAATCATGGTGTCAGCATAGATTAATGGAATCTTCAGGTAACCCAGCCATAGACTTGAGGGAAGGTGTAGCTAGACAGAGTATTCCAGTCAGGCCCGCTCCCTGCCCTGACAAAAGCACTGTACAGAAGGTTGAAGGAGAAAGGTAGTGTAAGGAACTGGTTATGCTGGCTCTGCAACCATTGGAGATTGTCCTACATTAGGAGAACACTGCTGTGAGATCCAGTACCAGGTCAAAGCAACAAATCTAGTGCACTTAATATAAAGCTACAGCAAGGAGACACTTTTAACAATTACATCAATGAGTGAATGGCAAATGTTTCCACGACAGACACCTGTAGCACTGCTGCTGAAAATCCTCATATCAAGGTTTGGACATGGCTCACTGATAACAAGAGTTTTCCACACTGCAGGGCCCAAGATAAAGAGTGCATCTACACAGCCCGCAGAAGAGAAACTCCCAGTTTGGGCAGACAAATTTGGGTTTGCGGGGCTGAAGGGACAGCACTTTGACAGTGCAGCTCAGGGTGCTGAAGCCTTGTGAGACAAGTGAGCATCGAGGCCTGAGCTCTTGCTCAACCTGTAATCTCAAAGTGTTGTCTACACACCTATTTTTAGCATAAACCCCACAAACCCAAATTTGCTTTCCCAGGCTGGGAGATGCTTCTGCAGTCTGGGTAGGCATATCCAAAGCAACCTTGAGGAGGTTCCTTTTAGGCCAATGGATTCTATGAATCACGCTTCATGCTGAATCAAGATTGGATCTCAGTCTTTGATTTTTTTTTATTATATGCAAGGTTGCATTTCTATCATGTCTGATCTGAAGATTTGGGAAAAGCATTTTCACAGCATCGCACAGGTCTGCAAAATCTTTGTTCACAGGGATCTCCTAGAGGGAGAAATCATCACAGATCAGTGTACAGTAGGATATATCTTATCTCAGAAGGTATGTATCACAACACATTCTTGCTCTCAGGCATCCATATAAACTAATGCAAACTCTGACAAATCTCCTACAGTTCAATGCCCTGAGCCATTGACGAGTTCAGCAAGTGACAGTACTACAGGACCACTGGTGGGGATAAAATAAAACATGAAACAAACTAGCTCCAACTATTAGAGAAAGAATGAAAAACAAACAAACAAGAAGATGAAGAAAGAATGTCAAAAAGCAGCTGACAGATCAAGAAAGGACACCATGAGACTCTAAGCAAGCAACTCACAACTTTCTGTTGAGGGCTGTCTCTCTAGAATGATCAGAGCACAAAATGTCTAGAATGGATAAAGCACATAGTAAGAGCAAGGTAGAAAATTCAATAGGCAATCTGAGTTTTGTGACTGCCTAAGCGTTTACAAAAAGGCTGAGGAGGAAGGCAGGAAAGTGCTGGAACAGAGAGCAGGATCAGGAGAAGGGTTTGTAAGAGGAATACAGGGAATAACAATAGAAAGGGGCTACTGGGAGAGGCAGACAGACATGGGTTTGTAAGTGCAGGCAGATCTTTCATGGATAGTCATAGATCTCTCTGGCTGAAGAACATGATTAGTCTGGTCTCAGCCAGTCAGAATGCAACTGTTGCTCTATTATTAATGATCAAGTTTTACAATAATAGCATCATTTAGTAGGTGAAGAGGGCTATCCGTTTCTGGCAAACGGACATTAAATAGAAGGAGACCCTGTGTTAAAGCCAATTGGAAGTTTATAATGTAACTATTATAAGCTTAGGGGAGGAAGGATACCTCAGTGGTTTGAGCATTAGCCTGCTAAACCCAGGGTTGTGAGTTCAGCTCTTGGAGGAGGAGGGACATTTAGGGATCTGAGGAAAAAATCTGTCAGGCATGGTACTCAGTCCTGCTGTGAGGGCAGGGGACTGGACTCAATGACCTCTCAAGGTCCCTTCCAGCTCTGTGAGATAGGTATATCTCCATATATTTAAATTAGTTAGCTTATATATGGCTGCAACAGAATCTGCAGCACAGTCACAATAGGTCTGACTACAAATATTTGGTCTTTGTTCAACATGCTATTATGCCATAGAACTATGTTTTTGTTTTTTGGGTTTTTTTTGGTGGACACCATTAATCTGAATGTTCTGATTTGGGGCCTTTATAAGCCACCCTCTCTCTTCAGTAACACATACCTTTGGGGTTTCATTTGCCTGTACTTTGAAGGGGGAAAATTAGAAAAAAAGAGAAAGGTGCCACAGCGTCTGTTTCCAATCTATGTCTGTTTGATTTGATAATAAATTATGGACTTATGGATTTTTGTATGGTAAAGTACTGTAATTATTGTATATGCTAACAAAGTCTTTATTTTGTGTTCACACAGACACACACTTCTTTGTCCTTTAATTGAACCTAATGGGTAAAGGGAAAACTGATTCAATAATGGAATGAGTGTAAGCTTTGAACTCTACTTTTCATCCTGACTTTACTAATATAGATCAGGTATCTAGGAAAGAGACCTCTCAATCTAATGAACAAATAAAAGTGTGTTATAAAAAAAATTTGGTGAGTTTTAAAACAGACAATATGATGACACAGTGAAGGATATTCTTAACTCATTAAGAACTGTCGGTGCCATAGCTGCTAGTAATAATGACTGAATAAGAAACTCTTTTTTACTCATCAATCAGATACACTGAGGATCATTAAAGAAATTCCATCAATAATTGGGAAAACAGAAGAGATAGCAAAATTAATTGTGGCAAAATACTTTTCTCTCCAAAGAGTTTCATCTCACACCCGAAAAAAGGAAAGATGGTTGGAAAGTCAGTTTGGGAAGAAACAGTTAGCATTCCCCCAGGTACAAAGGGACCAAATTACCATTCCCTGTAGGAAGTGACGAGAAAGTAAAGTATGTCTTCTTTCTGTATAGGGCTGCATTTATTTTTAATTAATGATGTTTGATTAAATAACTCCATCTGACAATATCAAATCGTTGTTAAATTCACATATTCAACAGACTGTACACACGTCCCATCTAGAAAGCACATACAAATCAACACCATGCTTTGCAAATAGTCTTCGAAGGCACCCTGTGAATCTGGCAGCTCATAGTACCAGTGGACTCTTTTAGCCTTAGGTCAGAGTATAATGCTGCCCTCGTCACTTGTGCCTGGAAGTTGTTACTGAGTGGTCACAACTGGCATGGACTGGGTGCCAAAACTTAGGAGAGAAGCTTTGCATGGAATGGATGATCTCACCTAGCTGCAGGGGTGAGGCACATAGACAGGGTATTGTGTGGAAGCTTGCACCTGCACTGCCCATGCCATACTTGTGGGCAAAAGCCTGCCTTCCTCAGAGCTGTCAGTTTGGCACCTTTCACCAGTGGGAAAATGTATTTTCAGGAAGAGTTGTATTCCATCTAATGAAGAGAGGGAAGACATGTTCACATGCAGGCTTGCTAACCTAGTGAGAAGAGCTTTAAACTAGGTTCTCCGAGGGATGATGACCTAAGCCCCGCTGTAAGTGGGGAAGTGGAATACCGGCAGAAATACAAAGAGGAGGGTGCACTAGGAGAAGCCCTCTGGATTCATACAGTGAGAGTAGGGCAATTGGTTGGTTATCTTAAGTGCCTATATGCAAACACAAGAAGTAGGGTTGCCAGATGGTTTCAACAAAAATACCGATCACACTCCCCCCAAAAAAACACCACCGGAGGAGACCAAAGTTGTTGAGCAAAAGAAAAAAAAAAGACCCCAAGAGTTATTAAGCTAAAATAAATAAATAAATAAATACAATAAAACACATTAAAACAACATGGCCCCTTTAGCTGAGTGCAGAGTCAGAATAGGGATAGGAAGAGGAGAGGTTGAGCACTAAGATCCAGGGAAGGCATTGATTCCCCTTGCTCAGGTCTTTAGGCTTTTTGCTGGTGGCCATCTTGTTTTCTTGGTCGAGCCAGAAGGGAGCTTCTCTGTGGAACCAGGTAAGCAGGGGATCCAGGGGGTCACAATTGCTGAGTATATTGTAGGGTTGCTAGGTGTCCGGTACTTTCATCTCCTGGCAGGGAAAAAAAACAGAAAATACTGGACATTTTAGGTGTCCGGTATTTTCTGAATTTTACCACCGGACAGGAGGCGAAAATACCGGACTGTCCAGGTCAATACCAGACACCTGGCAAACCTAACAAGAAGCCTGGGAAACAAACAGGAAGAATTGGAAATCGTGGCACAGTGATGGAACTCTAATGTAGCTGGAATAATAGAGACTTGGTGAGGTAACTCACAAGATTGAAGCAGTATCATGGAAGGGTATAAACTGTTTAGGGAGGACAGGCAGTGGAGAAAAGGTATAAGAGTTGCACACAGTCGTAGAAACTAGAGAAAGGTAGTTGAGAGTCTCTGAGTTAAGATTAGAAGCGAGAGCAACAAGCTGATGTTGTGATGGGCATCTGCCATAGAACACCAGACCAGGAAGATGAGATAGTCAAGGCATTCTTTGGACAACTAACAGAAGCTTCTAGATCACAGGCCCTGAGACCAGTGTTCTCTCTAAGCCAGTGTTTCCTGATTTTATTTGGCCACAGAACCCTTTTCTGCTTAAAATAATTTCAAGGAACCCCTAGGGTTCCCAGAGTAAAATTTGGCAAGCAAAAAAAAAAAAAAAGAAGTCCTGCTTTGTTGAGCAAAAAAAAAAAAAAACGTGCAAAATACCCTGTCTCTTTAAGAGGGGGCGGGGCAATGCCATGTTCTTGCGGAACCCTTATTTTCGCTTTGCAGAACCCTGGGGTTCCACGGAGCACCAATTGGGAAACACTGCTCTAAGCTGCAGGGCAGCACAGCTTCAGGGGTGATTAATCAGCCCCACCCAGTCAGAGGCTCAGGGCTCTATGCATGGAGCTGACTGACGGTGGCAGGGCTGATTAATCACCTGTGAAGCGCTGCAGCTGAGCAGCTTAGAGATAACACTGCCTAGGACTTCATCACTCTGAAATCTGCCAGGAGAGCAATATAGCAATGCACAGACAATCCAGAAAGTTTTTTGAGAGTGTTGAGACACCTTCCTGGAGCCAGTGCCATGGGAACCAACAAAAGGCCATCCTCCTCTTGACCTGCTGCTCACAAACAGGCAAAAATTGAATGGGGAAATAGGGATGTTAGATAGTGTGCAACTAAAGTGTTGTATAACCTCATCAAATTTTACAGGTTACACAACTATTCAATAGTTCCCAGGGGCGGGGCCAGCAACCAGTGCGCTCCCGGCCCCATTCCCAGGGAGCCCCCTGCCACCCTGCACTGCTGCCTCTGTATTAGAGGCAGCAGCGCAGGGTGGCAGGCAGGCACCAGTGGACAAGGAGAACCAGTTTAAAAACCAGCTCTCCATGCATACTGGCCACCTGCCTCCCCATTCTGCTGGCTCTGATCCAGAGGCAGGGAGGGAGGAAGGGCAGTGACAGGTGGCTCCACAGAGCCAGCAGGTGCAGAGAGCCTGCTTAAAAGCCAATTCCCCATGCATATTAGTTCCTGCCTGGTCTCCCTCTGATAGAGACAGAAGCACAGGGGGGAGGGGAGGAGGCAGCTTCATGA